CTCCAGCTCGAAAATCGCAACTTTGTAGTACAAGTCTAGTACAAGTCGAAGTACACTTCCGCAGCTCCAGCTCGAAAATCGCAACTTTGTAGTACAAGTCTAGTACGCGAAGTACACTTCCGCAGCTCCAGCTCGAAAATCGCAACTTTGTAGTACAAGTCTAGTACGCGAAGTACACTTCCGCAGCTCCAGCTCGAAAATCGCAACTTTGTAGTACAAGTCTAGTACGCGAAGTACACTTCCGCAGCTCCAGCTCGAAAATCGCAACTTTGTAGTACAAGTCTAGTACGCGAAGTACACTTCCGCATCTCCAGCTCGAAAATCGCAACTTTGTAGTACAAGTCTAGTACGCGAAGTACACTTCCGCATCTTCAGCTCGAAAATCGTAACTTTGTAGTACAAGTCTAGTACGCGAAGTACACTTCCGCATCTTCAGCTCGAAAATCGCAACTTTGTAATACAAGTCTAGTACGCGAAGTACACTTCCGCATCTCCAGCTCGAAAATCGCAACTTTGTAGTACAAGTCTAGTACGCGAAGTACACTTCCGCATCTCCAGCTCGAAAATCGCAACTTTGTAGTACAAGTCTAGTACGCGAAGTACACTTCCGCAGCTCCAGCTCGAAAGTCGCAACTTTGCAGTACAAGTCTAGTACGCGAAGAACACTTCCGCAGCTCCAGCTCGAAAATCGCAACTTTGTAGTACAAGTCTAGTAAGCGAAGTACACTTCCGCATCTCCAGCTCGAAAATCGCAACTTTGTAGTGCAAGTCTAGTACGCGAAGTACACTTCCGCCTCTGCAGCTCGAAAATCGCAACTTTGTAGTACAAGTCTAGTACGCGAAGTACACTTCCGCAGCTCCAGCTCGAAATTCGCAACTTTGTAGTACAAGTCTAGTACGCGAAGAACACTTCCGCAGCTCCAGCTCGAAAATCGCAGCTTTGTAGTACAAGCCTAGGCTGTACGCGAAGTACACTTCCGCATCTCCAGCTCGAAAATCGCAACTTCTCAGTACAAGTGTCGTATTTACAGAGCCGTGTGTTCGTTAAGGGTCATCGTTTTTGGGGGAGACCTCATCGTTTTCCATGGTTTTGGGATGTGTTACTCAAAAGCGTGCCCCGTCTTGATAAAGTGGTCTACGCGTGTTTTGTCCGTGGCTCATATATACATGCGTGCACGTACTTTTGGGTAGCCCCCCTCTCCCCCTATGTTGACACAAACCCATACAAAGACGATGTCTAATGTGCAGTTGTCAGTCCCCAAACGAGGCCGCTCCGACAAACCAACTCTGCCGCAAGGCAGGTAGTTGATCCGAGATGCAGCGTGCAGGCAAAGAACATGCCAGCGAAGGAGATCACCTCGGCCGATTTGGGCTGGATGAGTGGAGCATCCTAACCTCCGCTCCCTAGACACGCACATCAGCCATGAACTGCCTCAACTCAACCAAATCTCAAGACGCCCTGTCACCAACCCCTGCCATGACGCCTGACTTGAGTTGCAGAAAACTGACTTCGAGCCATGAGACATAGCTCCGCAGCCTTCCCCCATGCAGGAGTTGAGGATCCGTCATTGGAGGATTGACCGAGCACAGTATGGAAGGGAGGGTTCCGAACAGAGGAAGGAGCCAAAGCCACATTCTAAAAAATGCGACTCCTGTAAAGGACATGGACAAAGTAGTGAATTCCTTGGTAGTTGTGGGAGATTTGGGAGTCCCCCTTTGGGACCATAGACACAACCAAGTAGCTCAACCAAACCTCATATATAAGGCATCCAAGCGCGACGGGATTTCGCAAACAACAGGAAGCTGCACACAAGTATACTCCACCCCTCCCCAGGACCCCCCCACGACCCCCCCAGGACCCCCCCAGGACCCCCCTGAACCCCCCCTTTTGGTCCCCCGGGCGGGTCAAAAATCTCTGAAAGAGGATCCAACGCGGGCTGGGGGGAGATACGCGAGTGCTTGCAGAGACTCAAGTGAGAGGCTGAGCTAGAGCAGAATCGAATCATACAATGGGTCTGACGAGGATCGACAAAAAACATGATCTGTTAAATAAGGGTGACCCCTTTCTCAATTCCAGGCTAGCTTTGGTAAATTGACTCTATCGTTTGGGCCACTTGACCTGCTTACGCAAGTAGGCACTTCAACTAGTCGAAGCTAGACTTCTTGAAAGTCACTCAGATGCGCGCATCTTCGGGAAAATGGTCCGAGTCAGGTCGGGGCTTGGTCCGAAGGAGCCCATCATTGCGATCGCAATCTTGATACTTGTCCACATCGCATCCTGTCTCTCACAGATCCTGTTCCCCATGACGTGGGCTTGCTTTCGAGAACGCTGACACGTGCTGGGAGCATCAAGCAAGGTGTGAGAACAATTTGCATGATGTATATGGTGTAAACCTTGCAACCACGGTCACTGACTACTTTCTAACCAACTGCTATACTAGCAAGGTAATCATCTAAGTATAGTTTCAGAGGCCACTAGGCAATTCACAATTCAAGCAAAAATGAAGCAAACCCAGGGCCGTGATCCCTTTAGCCAGAACCCGGTGGGCAAGAAGGCTCCCTATATTTCCCTCAAACATCACCCCACCAAGAGGAAATTTGCTACAACTGAGTAGCGTGCTTCATTGTATTCCTCCCGAACTCTGAGCCATGCCTACGCTCAGCCTCCATGCGACGCAGACTTTTCTCGGGCGCTACTCTTAAGTTTGTGACATGCCTACGCGGACTGCCAATGCAGGACTTTCTTGAACAGCCTACGCAGACTCCCCATGCGATCGTCCCCCCCCCCCCCACACCCTCAGACTAGCCTATGCAGGGGCTTACAGCATTAAAAAACTGTTCTCCCCAAATACTGAGCGAATACATAGAACAAACAACTCTGCTGAATTGGTCCAAAGAGTCCTGTGTAAAGCTGGCTTAACATTGAGATATAGGGACTCATGCAACAGGTTAGTTAGCATCATCCACATCAGTGAAGGTATGAAGGTACCTCTGAGGCAGAGCTTGCTTCGGAAAATAAAGGCACCCCGCTTATAGCGAAGATACATGTTGTTCATAGAAAACCCTGCCTTGGCCCACGGCCAAAGAAAAACTGCGTGTGGGTGTCCATGATTGCTATGTCTCGACTCGGGCTTCATGCAACTTCCCAAGAAAGGCACGGCCATGATGATGCCGCATTGGATTTGGGTGAACAAGTCACCTTGGCTGCGACAAGCGAGGGCATTCAGAAACGCCAGTGATGTACTATGGAGCTTGGGTGCAAGTGAAACTCTTGTGAGTCCATAGCACTGCAAAGCGCTCAGAGGGCTTGATAAATAGACTTGTGCCAGCATCTTCAGCGTATGTTTTGTGGGGCCCAAGCTGGCAGCCAGCTGTCTGCAATATGCCTGGTGACTACAGTCTGCACCAAAATGATCAAAAATCTGTCCAAACAGGTGAGCCGGGTGTCCGATTTTGTGGGTAACCTCCATTTGAGTCACAATCAAAACACGGTATTCAAATGGTCTACCCAGAACCATGTAAAGAATTAAGAAGGCGGCCGCAACTATTTCTGGCTGGGACTGCCCCTTACTAACCTTCATCTACCCAGGTTTTGCTTGTGGCTCATTTCCAGGTCCAAGTGAAATTTTCTGAGTGTACCCAGCGTTATTCCCTTGACTGCAGATAGATGACGGTGAATGTGAGCCGTTGGTCCACCAAAGGCAAGTACCCAGTTTAACCAGTCCTTCACAATTGCAGTGCTTCTCCTTCGGGCTCCGAGCACACGCTGCTGTTTACGTTTGGCAATTTCACTTTGGCAGCTGAGAAGGCTGCCAGTGAGTTGCCGAGCCGAGATGGTGGCCAGAACGTTTATGGCAGTTCCCATTCTCTCCGACACGTCGTGGGTACAGAAAACTGGGAAACCAAGAGTTCAAAGGTCCACCAAGAGGAAAAAACAAAAATCGAACCACACAACTCGACACCTTTTGGGGCCGCGATTCGCCAGAGTTGGGCGTTTTCACCATGTCTTCCCTCTCAACTTCCATCGGCTGGGGCACTGATCACATAGGGAGCGAGGAAGCCGCCGAGTTTGGACATGAGATTCATCAAGGAGTGGGCCTGCAAACGGACGAACCATCCATCCGCCTGGATTGGCAGCCGGTGGGTTTGACACGCCGACCCCCATCTTTGTTCGCTTCCCGACATCCTGACTCATCGACCCTTTGAATTTGGGGGGCTGCATCTAGAGGAGGCAAGGGAGCATCGAACATTCGTCCGTGATAACATGAAGCAGTGTGGATTGGCGTTCCAGCTGGCAACATGCGACATCAAGAAAATCCCGCCGGGGCTTCTGCCAAACCAAGCTTGCCTGCCTTTTCGTATTGGCTGTGTTCTCAAACCAACGGATTGACAGCTCAATTCAATCGATGATCCGCTGTGGCGCCATGCATCAGCCGAGGATGTCGCGCATGCCGATCAAGCTGTCAGCTGAATCGGTTTCGTTGGCAGGCTGGCCAAGAAAAGCCCCCACAAGTCAATGTGAGGGTATGGTGCGCAGCAACCATTGCATACGATTCTCATGCGTTCCGTTCCGCATGATCTGTCATGTTGCTTTGAACAAATGAGCTGCCGCTGGCTTTTGGGGGTCCCTCGCCTCGTACCTTAGGCCCACATCCTCATGAACGCATCTATTACGACCTGTGCGGAAAGTTGACTCATGCAAGGACATGAGTGCTGTCGGCAAAGATTGCACATTATACCTTCCCGTTACGTGGCAGAACCAAACAGCAACTGCCGTCAACCTGTTTCCTCGGAGCATGGCAGCCCAGCGTCCTTGCGTCCAGCGGTCGGCTTTTGACCATCTCTTCCCCCAAGGGGTCTATCAACTCACTTCCTGAGTGGGGCTGCAAAGAGTCCAAACCAAAAAAAGTGGTGCCCCACCATAATAATTTTGCTTCCCACCAAAGTCCATGAACCCGGGAGTGCGCTCCAGGTCTTACCCGCACATTTGCGCTGAAAACCCCGGCCGGGCTCGGCGATCCGAGATCCGCGCCTCTCCGCGCACCGTGGTGGGGAAGAGCTCCGGGCAATGCACCTCACCGGGAAAATCGAGAGCTTCCATTTGCTTTCGTGGCAAAACATTTGATAAAATACCGTGGATGGCTGCGAAATCCAGGAACTTAGGCACCACCCAAGAAATGATTTTTAACTCCCCGGTAAATACCAATAAACAATGGTTTCAACCATGGTTTCAAAGTGATGCAGGATTTCGTCCATCCACAGTATGTCCAGTGAAATCGAAACCCCCTACTTTAAACCAAGGGAAAACAAGACATATTCTTAAGCAAATGGAAGAGAAGGTGCCACAGGCGGGTTGTAAACACGGCACAGCTGTAAACATCAACATGTAGTCCGCGGCTGGTGGTTGTTTGCCCAAATCCCTCTCTGCTCAAATTGAATTGGGTCAAAACGGCTGTTCGGAGGAGTAGATCTCTTATGTTGACACATCCTCATTCGGTTGTGTGCCAAAACCAGAATTTGAGAGCCTCTGAACCTTGTGGCATGCAGCCACGTGGAACAAATACTTGCTCTGACAAAAAAAACACATTGCAATGGATGCAATCCGGAACCCAGCCTATGATGCCTTCACAGAGCACAGGACCATGACTCATCCTCGCCCAAACCTTCACCAAACGAACCGACTCCTGTGATATCAGCGGCAGACAAACGTACGGCAATGGCTGCAGCCAAACCAAGGGGCGTGTTCCTCCAGCCTGCCTTCCACTTCAAAAACACACATGGCTCGAACAAAGAACTCTGTTTAAGTCTACGTTGGTCTGGCTAGCAGGCTTGCGATCTCAAACATGAACAAAAAGCGAAAATCTTCATCCAGCCGATTCAGCAATCGTGGAGGTTTCGAACGCGAGTGTCTTCGATTGTCTTGTCTTTTGACGCCAGCTTAGTCGCAAAAACCATGGAAGATGTCCAGGCACCATAGCCATGGTTTGGAGAATCACGAAACCAACCTGGGATTCCCGCTTCGACTTGATCACTTTCTTTCGCGGATTGCCCCAAGGGCCAAACAAAAATGCAGGTGAACCTCAACCTAAGATGGCATACAGATCGAAAAAGCAACTCCCGCAACTCATGTCAAAGTCACACATCGGTTTGCCTCCAAAAGTTGAACCACAAGATTCAGATTGCAGGCAATCTGTCAAACAACAAATCAAGCCTACAGTTGAGTGTGTCCTTCTTCGAGGGTCCCCCTTCTTGGTGGATGTTAAGGGGACACCAAACAGGGTTTTTTAACAAAAAGGAACAGAAGCAAAACACCCGTTTTGGGGGATGTCCCATCTTACAAGAGCCGAGCCAGCTTCCCACCCACCACCCAACTTGTGTGTTTTTCTTCCTTCCCTTTGTGTGTGTGTTTCTTTCTTCGGTTTTTGTTGGGGGGGGAAGGGGCTGGTCCGGCCCTCAACACCAACGAGCTCCGGCTCCGAGGCTTCGGCCCAGGTGGCGCAGGAGGCGGCCATGGCGCCCAGGCGGCCCAGGGAGGCCACCACCGTGAGGAACTCGGCGCGTCGGGGACCCGGCCCCGGGGAGTGGGTAGGCGCGGTGGAAAGGGCCGGAGGGCGCCTTGTTGGCAAAATGGGAGGTGTTTGGTTGTTGAGTTGTTGCTTTTGAGTGGGAGAAGTATGGTTTGAGACGTTTCAGGATTCTGTTGCTTTTCATTTATTCAATTTTCGATAGGTGGAAGCGGTTTTTTTTTGAGCGGGCTGAGCTGGCGGTTGGCGGAGGTTTGGAAAGCGTCCTTAGCGTGTCTGCGTTTGCGGCCCTGCCTTTTGGGTTGGCTTACAGCAAAATGGGTTTGGGGGTTCTCCGATTCTTAAGACACATCCATATGCGGCCAAGTGAGCCATCAAGACAACGTGGGCTTCCCTTTGAAACAACCCCAAGCAGATCCTCAAAACATACACACCCAAGTCTCTAAGTTGGGACCGGTTGGTGTGCAAAAGGAAACCAACAGGAAAGTCACCATACGTTCTCCGTTGGTTGGGGATTTTAAAGTGGGAGATTTGGAAGTTGGGTGGGCGCGGAAAGATGATGGGAGCTCTGCCCATCGAACATGCCTCTTGGGTGTGACTTTGCAATCAGGCATTCTCGAAAGGGAAAGGGGCCCAAAGGAGGAAGGATTAAAGGAAAGCCAGAAGGGAAACCCTGTGTCTGATGGGTGTTGAAAAGGAACGACATTAAGAATGAAGGGCATGTTGCCAAGTAAAAAGCATGACCCGACCCGTGAGAATTGGTTGATCTACTTGCCTGGACTCAACACGTGCCGGCACCCTCCAAAGCTTGTCCATTTCATCCAAAGGTCCCTTGGAACGCAGGCTAGCTATGGCCTGTACCTTCGGAACCCTCCTGCACCACTGGGACACTGTGGAGCCCCTCTCTTCGCCAAATCATTTTTCACATCAATGTCACCGGTGACAATTGATTTCCTGCCCAAAGGCCTTAGATTTC